CGCTTCCGTTTAAATTTCAAAAACATTGAAATTAAAGAGAATAAATATATTTAGCTCAAAGTAGTTTAAATAGTGTAAGATATCTCATAATATGTCCTACCACATGAAGAAATAACAGCATTGAAGAACCAAATCCTCTCTGAATCTTTGGATAGTGATATTTCGACAACTTTATTTAATATTTAAGGACTTAGTTTTTTATTTTATAATAAAATTATTAGCTTTAAAAAATTTCAATGAATTTATTTGATGAAATCTTAATTAAGATGACCTGGCCAGAAAAAAAAAGTGAGTTTGAAACAATTAATATTTGTCATGTATCTGAGGTAATATGTAATTAATGTTCTCATCTCACTTTAATAGTTGTATAATTTATGTTATAATTATAACTAAACACATGATAATACATGTTACATGTTAAAAAAGTAGGCTAGCCTACTAATTTTCGTTATGAGTAGGTTCATGAAGCTAAGAGTTGAATTATATCTTATTTTTCGAATAAAAAAAATTAATTTTCACGATTTGAACTCAATATAATCTCCCAATCATGTTATAATAACTTTTAATAAAATGTTACTTTTAAGCATGATCAAATGGAAAAGGAAACACCTAAATTGAAAAAGGAAAAAAAGAATGTATCTAGAGTATAATCTATATGTGAGCTTTTACTTATATCTTATGTATATATAATATTATTTAGTTAAATATCCATAAGGATTTGATTATAATGAATTAATTTATTATATATTAATTTGAGATGTTTATTAATCTGGCATAAGTATTAACGTAGCTAGCTAGTTATAAATTGTAGTCTACGAGAAATGAGAACCGTAGAAAGGGGACCCCCCTAGACAATATAATATTTATTTTTTACAGTTAATTATTCTAAAACTTTTAAAATTTATAAAATACCTATTTAATTTTTTATAGTACAAAGAAAGATCTTCAAGATTCATGTTGATCCGTTATTTTTAAGAATCCTTATAAGTAATTATCAAAATATTACTTACTACTTACAAATCCATTCGAACTTAATAATTTAGTTTAAAACTTTTATAATAAGTATTAAGAAAACTCAATAAATAAATAAATAAATACTATGAATTTTAAACTTAGTAAATGAAATGAGTTATGATAAAATTTCAAACTTGAATTATCAAATTTAAATTTAGAATTTGTGCAATTCACATAAACTTGCACCACCCTAAATCCCTAATAACAGAACAAGTCAAGAATGTCATGTTAATTATAATCAAAATATAAATTATTATATTGATTTTGGTTAAATAATTATCTTTTTTTTTTCTCTTCCTCTTTATATTAATATTTATTTCCCATCCCATCAATTGATTAGATTGTAGTTGTTAACCATTTAAGGGAAATTAATAGTTATGCACCCTCTAGTTGTTAAAAAAGTACTGTTCTTAAATATTTATAGGAGCACTTGTTGAATAATATCCACAAATATTGCCAACAAAATAAAAAACCAATATTAAATGTAACAATTAATAATCAACTTTGATTATTTAAACCAATTCCCAAAAATGGTCATATTAATCCTTTTCTTAAAAAAGTTGTGTAATTTATGTAGTTTAGTCCCTGCAAAATAGTGCGGCAAAATCTTCCGAAATTAATATTTGGTAAATTAATAATGAGAAACTTTCATATATAGCCACTTAAAAATAATTAATTACTCTCTATCTATAGTTTGATAATTACAATTTGTAGCTACATGTTATTTGGAGGAGAGAGGCGAGCGAGAATGGAAGAGAGAGGCGAGAGAGAGGGGGAAAAGAGTGGGAGAAAGGTGAATTGTATATATATATTATTGGTTAGATAATTGTATATTATACATATGTAATTGTATATATGGCAAGAGAGATTGGGAGATAGAGGAGAGAGGCGAGCGAGATTGGGATAGAGAGGAGAGAGGCAAGTGAGAGAGGACAGAGAGTAAGAGAGAGAGGTGAATTGTATATGTATATAATTTTATATAACTGTATATTATACATATACATTTGTATAAATGGCAAGCGGGATTGTGAGAGGGAGGAGAGAGGCGAGTCAGATTGAGAGAGGGAGGAGAGAGGAGAACGAGAGAGGGCAGAGAGTGGGAGAGAGGTAAATAGTATAGGTATATAGGCTAAAAAATTGCATATTATACATATTTATTTGTATATCCTGACGAATTATACATATACAAATATGACTAATTATACAAACTCGAAGTCAACTCAAGTAATATGTATAATGTTAGTCGCAAGTGGTAATTATGACAAACTATAGCTATGATGAGTAATTAAATAGTATAAGTTTGCTTATCCGCGTAATTTTCCCATTAATAATTTCCTTAAAATATTATTTTCCTCGGTCACGACTTAAATAAATGGAAACAATCACTTATTTAAATAAGATAATATTACAATTTCGTGAAATGTGATTTTATTGTATTTTGTTTTTTGTTAAACTATAAATCTAGTTGAAGTTCATCTCTAATTTTTCTTTTTGCATCCAAAAGTTATGATGTTGTCTTTTCGAAATGCACCAAAAAAATGTGAAGAATTCTAGAATGCGATAAGTGTTTCCTTACGCATAACTGGTTTCAAAGGTACTGTATCATCTTCAACTTTAGCATGAACGTTATTTTTATGAGATCTACAATGTCTTCTAAGTTTCGCACCTCTAAACATGTATCATTTTCACCTAATAATCCAATTTGTCATTGACGTCGATTTTATTATGGTAATCGAGATCATTAATAATGACCTCAAATTCATAAAAGATGTTTTCACAAGTGGATTCATTCAAATTCTATGACATTTAGTTATCCTTCAAACAAATTTTACTGCACTGTCAAAAATAATTTGTTATTGTGTCTTGCTGAACATTATATTTGTAGTCAAAGTCGGCATTGTAAATTGATAGCATCATAAACATTAATTGGATAAATTTGTCTCACTTCATAGTCTTCTTATATCCTACGATAAAAGTTGATTGTAATGATATATCTTGAAAGCTTTTATTATCATAATATCACAAGGTTAAATCTCAAAGCAGTCTTCAAATTAATAAATATTAATTTATCGATTAAATAATATCTATATAAAATAATAATTTTATAATTTCAACCATATTAATCTAGTGAAATTTTACCGCATATAGTTTACTCTCCTATGAAAGAGTGATTTTTCTACATTGAATTGAATGCAATCTACTTCTAAATTAGTAGTCCACTTTATTTAGTTTTCGTCTTTATACAAGTCAACTAATTGATCAAGAAATTTCATAAAATTAATTTTTTATATGTTAATGTCGTAAAATTTCGTACAAAGAGTTAATATTGTTATTGAAAATATAAATAGACAACACTAAGAAAACACTATTTTCTTATTAATAAATATTTAATAGATATTTTAATTAAATCATCGTAAAAAGAAGAAATATAACAAATGATTTCATATGGAAAAAAATTAAGAATTTGTCTTCTATCATATATTTTTTGAATTGATTCGATGAAAAAAATCATGTTCTTGTTTCTAATAATAAGATTGATTAGTCAAACAAATTTCCCACTCATTTGACTTTGCTAAATCAAGTAAATTTCAAGTTCGAAACTATAAAATTTAAATTTTAAAATTCGAGACGCGTATAATTATATTGACTCTTCCTCTATAATTACGTTGGCCCCTACTGAAAAAAATTCTTTTGATGAACGTACTATGTGCGGAGTATTTTTTATGGATACGTCGTAATGATACTAGACAATAACAAAAGAAAAGTCTTATTTTGTTGTACAAAAAATAAATGGAATTAAAAATTTTCGTAATATATGTAAAAAAAATAAAATAAACGTATTTATCCTATAATATTTTTGAGTAGGTGAACAAAAAAATTTCTTTGCGATATTATTTTATCATATCAAAATTCTTTATTATTTAAAAAAATTATAAAATTTTCTATTTTCGGATACATCACTCTTACATGAAGTATTGAAATAGGTGTGTCTTGTATCAATATAGATAATGTATTGTGACGCGACGTATTGAGACAAGTGTATCATGTATCAACAAAGGTAATACATCGAGACCCGATCGATATATCGAAATGTTGAGTAATGTATACGAAATCCTTAAATTTTAAGGGATTTCTGTAATTTAGAATAGAGTAGGAATATGATATAATTAAATCTTAACACTATGAAATTTGTGTAATTTTACAATACTATATACTATGCAAAATTGATGTTTTTTTCTTTCACCCATTTTTCTTTATAAGTTCGTTAAGAAAAAAGACGCATTTCTATATCTATATATATAAACTATCTATTTTAGTGTGAACTTTTATAGTTATATTATATTATATTATATAGTGTAGTGTTTTATAGAGTCCTGAGCTTAAGGGCTATAAAATATTAACAAAATTTTTAAAATGGTATATTAAATTTTATATTAATCAAAATGATAAAATCACCGTAACAACAGCGATTTCCTTTATCGGAAAAAAGCAAAATCGCTGCTACCTAGGCAGCAATTTTCAATTTTTTATAATAATAAATAAATAAATAAATAAATAAATATATATATATATATATTATTTTTGGAAATCACTGCCTAGGCAGCGATATCCATTTTTTAAAAAAGAAAATCGCTGTCTAGGTAGAGATTTGAACTTTTTTTAAAAAAATTACAGTTTGCAAAATTGCTGCAGTAGTAGCGATTTTGCTTTTTCCGGTGGAGGAAATCGCTGTTATTCCAACGATTTTACCGTTTTAGTATATACCGTTTTAAATCTTTTGTTAATATTTTATACCCTTTAGGCTCCGGACTCGTGTTTTGCATAGTTAACTTATAACAAACTCATTGAATAGACCACTTCCTTCCTTTCCTTGGGGTCCCATCATGCCCAATTCAAACCCCAATATATAAACAACATACTTCAACTCCTCCTTTAGCATTTTCTTCTTTATTCCAAATACCTCTCATTTCCTAGTGAATATATATATATATATATATATATATATACACACATATATATCCATGGAGAAGATTGAAAGAGAAGCTCTTGATTTCATGAATGTAGAGTCCTCCTCTCAACTTCCTATTACCCTACCCGTTAACGAAAAGCCTATTAGGCTTTTTGGTAAAGAATTTGGTGGTGGTGATAGTATTAATATGACCGCCACCAATATGTCTGAATTTATTGAAAATAATCCTTTTTATGACAAACCAAATATTGTTAAAGAAAATCATATCAAGAAGAATGTTGAAATCATGAGGAAATATGAATGTCACTATTGTTTTAGAAGCTTTCCAACTTCTCAAGCTTTAGGAGGCCATCAAAATGCACACAAGAAAGAAAGAAAAAATGCCAAACGACATGGTAAGTATTTTATGTATATGTAGTGTAGATCTGTTTTTGATACGACAAAAATATTTTTTCAAATAACAAGTCATTTTCTAGCAAGGAAACATCAAAAAAATATACTCCTTGAATAATGGGACAAAGTTAATTTTTCCTAGAAAATATTTCTTTGTCATTCAACATGTGATAATAGTTTCATATATTATTGCTCACTTTTAAATAACGTTTTGTTTTGATTGACAGATCAACCGAGCATTTACGGGATAACGAACCGTAATCGCCTTGGTGAAGCAACTGTATCTACAAGAACTCATTATCATTCAACATGGACCAACATTAACAATAATACTCCTAGGTTTGATGGAAATGGCCATAATGTTAATGTTATTAGTCCTATAAATGGAAATCCATTGACATTTTGGCAGATTCCTCCAGCATTTAATCAATATATTTCTTCTTCTTCTGATAATAATAATAATTTAGTTTTTTCTAATGATGATTTGATTAGGAATCCTCCAATGGTTAATATTAGCAATAATTGTGAGTATAAACCAAAGGGAGAAGTTCAAGATCATGTGAGTTTAGATTTGCACTTGTAACTACTCCAATTCGAGTTGCGACTCTACAAATTGTGTTCAACTCAAATTAGGATTCCCGGAGGCTACTCAACCCTAAACCCTAGTTTATGCCTAAAGGTGCTAAATTCTCTCAAAAAGCATCTCGGAAATTCCATAAAGAGATCAATATCTCTAAATATCCCACAAAAGTCATGAAATATTCATATAGATGTCAAATCTAAATCATCCTTGTTCGAGAAATACACTACTAATGGCCCTCGGATCATGGATAAATCTACATAATTGTACCTGCTATCTTGATTAATAAAATCATATTTCTTCAGATTTATTTGTTTGATTTATTTATTTTTCATATTTGGCAAACAACTACTTAAGGATCATAATTAATGTAATCTAATTATAATATTTTATTTCTTTAAAGAACTTGTGCTTAATTTGAAGAATGTTTGAATTTAGTTATCATCATAGAAATTATTCATCATATTATGGTACACACAATTCTGTTGCCTTATTGAATTTCACTTAGTGTAATTTGAATTGTTGTAGCAGATTGTATGTCTTACTTCTATCACTAAATTCACTTAATTTAAATATGAAATTATCTTTTAGTTGATTTAATAGCGTAAAATTTTCTATAAACCTCTAAATGAAAATTCGGAATTCATCACTAATTCAATGGTTAACATGATTGTGTGTGCATGGATGTTTTAATTTTGTACATTATATCTTTTCAGAGAAAGTCCCTACATTACTACAAATAGCGATACAATAAAAAGAGAGAGACCCTACATTGAAATTATGAAGTTATATCATGGTAAAACTAACTAGTCCTGGTAATAATTTTTTTGTTTTCCCGCTCGGTGTTCAGAGTCTATATTGAAGCTTTGATTAAATTCGGATCATGCTCTGCGCTGGCCATTCAAGGGTGACACTCTAAACAAGATTTTTTTCATATCTAGGACTCACACCCGAAATTTCTAATTAAGAGTAAAACACTCCTACCAGTGCACCTCAATCCATACGTTGGTCATTTTGTACTTTCATCACATTATGATTATAGTGTATATCTTATGGACCTATGGTTATTCCTTGCTACTAAAAAGTACAAGACATGCTATATTTTTTAGACAAGGTATTGTGCTCATTACGAATAATCAACTTAACATTACTCCAAATAGAAAGGTTTGATGTCGAAATTAGTAAAAGATCATTAAATAGTTGAGTGTTATCACACTTTATGTAAGTCAAATAGTCTCTTATTTGGCAAGGTGTATATTGTATATATGTTAGCTTCATTTACTTTGTATTGATATTTATTGTCATGTTTCCTTGATATTTTGCTTCAATGATTTTTCTTTTGAGCTATTGGTTTAGTAGATTCTTTTACCTTATACTGGTAAGGGTAATGTCTAAATACATTCTATACTCTGCTTTGATTTCATTTATGGGATAACACTAAGGGTTTGCATCGATCGGTTCGATACGATTTTATATATGATCGGTTCAGTTTATCGATTTTTAGTTTTTAAATACGTCAAACCAATAACCAAACCTATAAGGAATTTTAAATTGATTTTCGATTTATCGATTTTGGTCCTTAACGAGTTGGTTTTCAGTTTAACCAATAAGAAAATATTTATAAAATAATCATATGACTTCTCTAATAAATTTGAAACAACAACACAATGATGTAATTAAAAAATTATACAAGTGTAACACAAAGAGAAATTAAGAGGTGGGGTTCGTACTTTAGATTTTGACCATTTTTATAATGGGAAATTGTGAAATAAAAGTTACTTTGAAGTGTAAAAAACCACTGGGCAGGGACCTATTCCTAAGCCATTTTCAGTAGACAGACAGGGAAAAGGACTAAAAACATTCTTCGCAAGATGAGAGCAAGCATTAGATGAAGCCGACTTTGTCCATCTCGCATATCAACTTCCTCTATCGATAGCGTAAAGCCGCCCAACACAGAGAACGAACATGGTCGGTAGGTAATTAATCTTCGTTTGGATAGCAGTACGATATAGCGATCGAATTCACGCACACACACTAGATGAATGAAGAACACAAGAACTTTCAAGAGAAAGAGATGAGAGATGTAGAGAGAGAAAGAGAAAACCCAATATTTCGTGGTAAAACCCCGTGAGTAAACTTCCACGGCGGTGAGGTATATTTATATTAATAAATCAGAGTATTTTTTGTTACAGAGAATAAATAGGAAAACCTAAAATAGATAATAAATAGGAAAGCCTAAAATAGAGAATAAATAGGAAAACCTAAAATTAATCAGGCTCCACTACCTAACAATTCTCCCACTTGGAGACTGACTCAGTCATCCAAAAAATACATTCTCAAAAAAAATCTCTTCATCATCAACATCTTTACCACACCGCAACATCTGTAGCAACAACTACAGAAGACCAACCGAGGTTTTACATAACCTCAGTTTCCCAACATCAACATATTTCGTCAACATGTCTGCCGGGTTCTTTGCACCCTCTATCTTCTCCAAGCACATATCACCATCCTCCACTGCCCTGCAAGTGAAATGGTATCGCCTTCTGATGTGCTTTGTCTTCGAATGATAGACTGGATTTTTCACCAACTGTATGGCACTCTGGCTATCTGAGTAAAGAATCTTCTCGCTCTGCTTCTTGCCCAATTCCTCAAGATATCTGCCAGCCATATCATCTCTTTCCCAGCTTCAGCTATTGCCACATACTCAGCTTCAATAGATGAAAGAGAAACACACTTTTGAAGCCTGGACATCCAACTCACTGCTGTTCCACCTATGGTGTAAATGTACCCGGATGTACTCTTGCTCGAGTCAACATCCCCACCAAGATCAGCATCCACAAAACCTTGTAGAGTCACCTTACCTTTGCCAAAACAAAATGAAGTACTGGATGTACCTCTCAGGTATCTCAGAAGCCACTTCACAGCTTCCCAATGCTCTTTGTCAGGTTCGTCATGTACCTGCTAACTACTCCCACTGCATGTGCTATATCAGGTCTAGTGCAGACCATAGCATACATCAAACTACCAACTGCTGAAGCATATGGAACAAGCGCCATGTGATCACGCTCCTCGGCAATCTTGGGTGACTGCTCATTTTACAATTTAAAGTGATTTGTCAATGGAGTAGTCCTGGGTTTAGCATCATTAACCCTGAATCTGCTCAGCACCTTCTCAATGTACAACTCCTGAGATAGATTTAAAGTGCCAATAGATCTATCCCAAAAAATCATTATCCCCAAAATCTGCTTTGCTGGACCCAAATCTTTCATCTCAAACGCTGCAGACAATCTTGTCTTCAGATTGTTAATCTCTCTCATACTAGATCCTGCAATCAACATATCATCCACATACAAGAGTAGAAAGACATATGAATCAGTGTATTTCTTGAAGTAACAACAAGGATCCTTTTCAGCTTTGCAGAATCCACTCTTGGTCATGAAGGAGTCAAACTTCTTGTACCACTGCCTTGGTGCTTGCTTTAGTCCATACAAGCTCCTGGTGAGCTTGCACACCATGTGTTCCCTTGCCTGGAACCACAAATCCTTCCGGTTGCTGCATATAGATCTCTTTGTCCAGATCTCCATGTAAAACTCTGTTTTTACATCCATTTGCTCTAGATGCAAATTTTCCGATGCAACAATACTCAACAGAATTCGAATAGAGGTTAACTTCACAACAGGAGAGAATATTTCAGCATAATCGATACCTTTCCTTTGTGAATATCCTTTAACTACTAAACTTAAACCTTCTTTTGCCATCTGGTTCAGTCTTGATTCTGCATACCCACCTGTTCAGCAAAGCTCTCTTCCCTGCAGGTAACTCAGTCAACACCCATGTGTCATTCTTCTCAAGTGACCTCATCTCATCATCCATGGATTGCTCCCACTTGATCGAATCCTCCACCTGTAGGGCCTCATCAAAAGACTCTGGTTCCCCCTCATCAGTCAGCAATAGATAGTGTAATGAAGGTGAATACCTATCTGGTGCCCTGATGGATCTGGATGATCTCCTTAACACCTGCTCAGGTGTAACTTGCTCCACTTCAGATTCTTCATTAGGAGTTGGTTGAGTATCTGCTTCGACATCTCTGGGGTTACTCTTCTCCAACTCAACCTCAACTCCAACTTGCTTTGTAATCTCTAGAACCTTCTGCTCTCTGTCCTGTACAGGACAGACTCATCAAATGTCACGTCACAATGTCTCAGGATCTTTCTGTTCTTGTCATCCCAAAACCTGTAACCAAACAAATCAGAACCATATACTATGAAGTAACACTTCACAGCCTTGGCATCAAGCTTGTCTCTCTTTTCTGGATCAACATAAACATAAGCAGTGCAACCAAAAGTCCTCAAGTGTAAGTACTTGAGTTCTTTTCCTGTCCACACCTCCTCTGGAATCTTGAACCCTAAAGGAACTGATGGTTCCCTGTTGATCAAGTATGCAGTTGTGCTCACAGCATCCGCCCAAAGTGTTTTGGGTAGCCCACAGTATATCCTCATACTCCTTGCACGCTCATTCAAAGTTTTGTTCATCCTCTCAGCAATTCCATTCTGCCTTGCTTTACCAGGAACTGTTCTCATCAATCTGATTCCCTCAGCTGCACAGAATGCCTTGAACTCTGATTTGTCATACTCTCCTCCATTGTCAGATCTTAGGCATTTGACTTTCAAACCGGTCTGATTCTCAACTTCAGCTTTCCACTTCTTGAAAGTTTCAAACACATCTGACTTATGCTTCAAGAAGTAAACTCATACCTTCCTGCTGAAATCATCAATGAAGGTAACATAGAATCTGGATCATCCAAGTGATGATATTGGAAATGGTCCCCAAACATCTGTATGGACCATTTCCAACCGCACTTTCTTTGACTCTCTAGGAGTCTTTGTGAAGCTTACTCTTTTCTGTTTGTCCATAACAGAGCTCTCGCAAATACCCATATCAACAGACTTTAGACCCTCTAATGCTTCTTTTGCAACCAACAGCGACCATGTTTATACATCCTGCAGTGGTGTACAAGGTTCCAGATTTGGTGCCACGAGCTACTACTATAGCACCTTTCACGATCTTTCACGAACCTTTCCCAAACTCTGCTGCATATCCCGTGCTATCCAACTGACCAACAGAGATCAGATTTTTCTTGATCCCAGGAATATATCTGACATCCTCCAATGTCCACTGGTTTCCCGAGGTGGTCTTTATGCAAACATCCCCCTTTCCTTCAATCTCTAAGGCTTTATTGTTAGCAAGATATACTTTTCCAAAATTTCCAGATTTGAAATTTTGAAACAACTCCTTGCTTGGAGACGAATGGAAAGATGCACCAGAATCCAAAATTCATGATTCAACAGGGTTGTTCACACTAAGGATTAGAGCATCCCCAATGTCCTCTGCTGAATTTACAGAATCATTGTCATCTCCAAATTTCTGATTCTGTTTCTTCTTTGGCTTTGTACAGTTCGTCCGAAAGTGCCCTTTTTCTCCACAGTTCCAACAAGTCACGTTTGATCTGTTCAGTGATTTTCCTCGATTCTTTGATTTTGATCGACCATGTTGATTTTGGTCTTTCGTCTTACTTCTCCTCCTTTGATCAACGCTGAGAGCACTGCCCGATGAATCTCCCACTTCTCGTTTGCGAATACTTTCGCTAAGAACAACATCACGTATTTCATAAAACTTCAGTTTCTCAGATCCACGGGAACTGCTAATCGCAGCAACAACAGTATCCCAAGACTCGGGCAGAGATGACATCAAAATCAACGCCTTAATTTCATCTTCGAAATTAATATCCACAGAATTGAGTTGACTCACAATCATATTGAACTCATTTATATGATCAGAAACGGATCCAGTTTCAGACATCTGTAAATTGAACAATCTACGCATCAAATATACCTTGTTCATAGCCGATGGTTTTTCATACATGTTTGACAGTGCCTTCAACAGACCGGACGTAGTATTCTCCTTCACGATGTTGAACGCCACGTTTCTTGACAAAGTCAACCGATTCCAAGCTTCGAACTATCCATCTTTTGTGATCGTGTTGAATCTCCTTAGCTCTGATACCAGTTGCTAGGATCGAATTCACGCACACACACTAGATGAATGAAGAACACAAGAACTTTCAAGAGAAAGAGATGAGAGATCTAGAGAGAGAAAGAGAAAATCCAATATTTCGTGGTAAAACCCCGTGAGTAAACTTCCACGGCGGTGAGGTATATTTATATTAATAAATCAGAGTATTTTTTGTTACAGAGAATAAATAGGAAAACCTAAAATAGAGAATAAATAGGAAAGCCTAAAATAGAGAATAAATAGAAAAACCTAAAATTAATCAGGCTTCACTACCTAACAGGCTAAAGTATAAAGACAATAGTAACTAGTAAGATATTGAGATTAATATGAAATACTTATGTACAAATAAATGTAGTAAATTACTAGGCTTAATGAGTTATCGATTTATCCAATATCAAAAAACCAATATCGAATCGATAGACCCGAAAATTATTTTAATAAAACCATTAAAAACCCATTGGTCCGATCCAATAACCAAAAAACATTAAACCAATAACACTTTTTTCGATTCGATTTCTGCACTAGATTGCTCCTACAAAGTGGTACATCCCATGATCAATATCTTTCTTAATTAACATTTTTTAAGAGGCATTAAAAAGAAAAAAAACACTATGGATAATTTGATACACATACAATAAATGAGACAGGTTTCTATTTTGATAGTGTCTTATATTTTATTTCTCTCTGACAATGATCATAAAAACTACTTTTATATTTGTCAGTGAAAATGGAGCCCTAGTTAGGTATATTTTTGACTATCTGATTTAAGGAATGAAAAGGAAATGACAAAGATAAAACTAAACATTTTCTTGAAAGTGATATTTAATTTAGTTGAGGATATAATATATGCTCTGACATAAAATAAATACACAAGGTAAAAACACAAAATGTAATGACTATTCATTTTAGTCACCATCTCTACTGCCTCTTGGATAAATGCCTCAAGGCTTACTCATCTGGTTATTATAATTTTGTACCACCAACTCACCTCTTTAAATGACACAATTTTTCTAGAAAATACTTTTAGACTAATGTTTTTATTATATACATGAAAAATAAAAGAATGATTGGAGATTTTTCATTTTTTTCACATGACACTATTCAATTAAATAAGAAATTTAAAAACCAAACAAAATTATGATATATAAGGAAGTGGTGGTGAAAAATTATTCTCTTAAATTTCAGAGGAGACAGAAAGCACCAAGTAATTTTTAGAGTCAAACTGATCCTTTTTTATATAAAAAAAAATAAAAAATAAAAAATAAACAGACTATCAATTTTATTTTATTTTTTAATCACTCCATCAGGAGCAAGATGCGTGCGAATAAATTTAGCCCTTGAACTGGCAGCGATTTATTTAAAAAAACCATTTAAATTGTTACCTCAACAACGATTTCCCATATAATCATTCAATGCCCCAGCAGCATTTTTTTTTAAAAAATAATTTTTTTTCAATTTTTTTTTTTGAGAAATCGATGCATTTTTTAATTCTTTCTATAAAAAAATTATATGGGAAGTTGCTGCTGGGGCAGCGATTTCAATTTTTAAAATTTTATTTTAGAAAAAATCATTGCTAGGACAGCGATTTTCTTGAGATATTTTTTTCTTTGTGATGGAGTTAACGGGGTTAATTTACGCACAATTTGTCCCTTTTGGTTTTTGAAAAAACTGATAGGCCGTTTATGCATTTTGAACAAAAAAATGGTCATTTTGACTTCGGACTCTGATTCTTCCCATTCGTTCTAACTTTAGTGCACAAAATTACTCGCTACTTATTGTCAGTAGAAGGCGACAAGTATCATATAAATTAGTTGAGATGTGTAAAAACTAACTTAAACACCACGATAATTTAAAAATTGAAAAATAATATTCTGGAGAGTTCATCCAAAAGCATTTACCCAGAAGGCAGAAGAGCTGGTGGTTAAATGAATTGTCATTATATTTTGTATTTGTACAAATATTTATTTCATGGCAGAGCATATATTATATCCTCAACCAAAAAAATCACTTTCAAGAAAATATTTAGCTTCATCCTTGCTGTTTCTTTTTTCATACCTCAAATTAAACAGAGGGTCCATATTCCATTTTAAATAAATATTGGAACACCAATTTTTAAAATTATTATTATAAGATAGAAACAAAATTTAAGACCCTGCCATTCCGTCAAAAATAGAGATCTTTCCCTAAACTTTCTTCTTTTATCAACATTCACTAAAACATTCATGTTCTTTAAAAAAAAATATTTTACTATAGCAATCAAAAAATATCGAGATAACGATGTTATAGAAGTGTCCAATTGTAAGTTGGAACAAGTTTTCCTTTTTTTTTATCATCATCATAGATGTGATTGTTGTTCTTGATAGGAGTGTCATCTAATTTGAATCACTTGACACAATACTATTTCATAAGATGTGCTGTTAGAATCAAAAAATCAAATCAAATCGACTAAAAATTACAAATGCATTTAGTTTGGTCTGGTTCGAACCAATCAAACTTAACATTGATATCTTTACAGTAGCAGTTCACATCTACTATTTGTTAATTATCATGGATTTTTTTTACACATAATATGCTCTTAATTGATTATCGAAAGTACTGAATTCAGATCAATCTGAATTATCTAAAAGGTACACAAGTGAATGCAGAAAAATAGTGGGACATAGTAAATAACCAACAAGAGGAAATATGAAATGCATGTACAAAACATGATAAACACTTGAAAATTTTGAGAGTGCACTATTAGAACCACAAAACAAAAATATGTAGAGAACAAAAGTGGAATTTTAGGAAGCTTCAAAGAGTGTCCCATGCTAAAGTGTCACAGTGTAAGTGCAAGTTAATGTTAATTGGCTTTTTCAATTCCTACAATTTTGCCATATATAGTTATGTACCATTGTTATTAACTGAACTTTCATCCATCTTTCTGTTAGCTCATAACAAAATGTCAAACTAATCTTAGGGTTGACACAACCAACTTGATTGAGGAAAAGGAAACCCTAGTGACAAAGTACTTTTGCCCTCGTAAGCGAAGACAGAGGAACCATAACTAGAAATCTCGAATTCGATCCTTATATAAAGTTAAGAAGTGTTTTGCACCTCCACCCCCACAAAGTGGGATTTCTTAGTCAAAGCGAATACAAGAACCATTCAAAAACCAAACAATCATAGTATGTTCATTAAGGTTGGAAATGGTGAAAATCATGTTTGTTTGTTTTTCATATATCTAGTGTACTCTCACAAGTGTTGTTTGGAGATAATATTATGCATACAGATAAAGACCGTTTGTAAGGTAGAAAGACGGTTTCTGATTATATACGGTACTCCACATATGATTTTCAGCTTTGAGCTTTGCACATAAGTTAAAGATTATATATTTATGTTCATTTATTAAATGCATAATGGTAATACCTATGGGCTGTATAGGCTTTTTTTATGACATTAAATTTCATTTCCTAACCATCTTTTTCAGGGCTCCCCTTATGAATACCTGACCTTATATGACAGATAATATTGTTGAGTGGCCATAAGTTTTGATTACTCCTGCTTCAATAAAGGATGACTTATCAATATTCTTTGAACTATTGTTAGAATATCCAATGTGATCTCAGTTAACATCATTAAGACAAGAAAATTCAAGATTTAAGCCACCAATAGATCAGAGGCGATTCAGAATTTAAAGTTTATGAATTTCTATTGAAATTTCAAGTTAATAATACATTAATATCTAAGTTCACGGTCAAATATTGATAGATATTTAGTAGATTTTTGCTTATTATATAAGAAAGAGTTCGCGTTGATGCAGACACGTCTCCGTCGATGTGTCTGCTTTAGCGTTTTTCAGGAAAAAAATCTAAAAGAATTATTTTTTTGTTCTAATTTGATTTAATTAGTGTATAATTTATTTGAAATTACGGAATCCGTTTTAACTATGACTTTTAGTTTTAAATTCAAGATTTTATGCTTAAGTAGACACGTGTTTCGATATACTTCTAAAAAATTACTTCTTTTGTTCTTCTTTAAATTTAATTAGTATATAATTTTTTTAAAAATTATGAAATCCGTTTTAGGTATGACTTTTAGTTTTAATCATTATCTTTAAGCATTGCTTTATTATTTTGAATGTTGGTAATATTTGTTTATATCTTGTAACTGTTTTGAGTAAAAAATCGATCACTGCTTTATTGTTTTGAATGTTTGTAATATTTGTTTATATCTTGTAACTGTTTTGAGTAAAAAATCAATGGTTGATGGACCTCTTCACAATAAATTTGCGCAAACAAAAAGTAATTAACAACTTACAAATCTAAAAAAATCATATTAAAATTTAACCAACATTCTAATTTCTACCTATATCACATAAATTAAATTTTAAAAATACCAAGACACTAGGCCCATGCTGGCATGGGCAACTGTGTATAGTGTTATTGTTATTATAGATGAGCGTATGGAAAAAAAACTATTGGATTCACGTGAACCCACTACATCCTCCCTTAAACACGCTTTATAGGAATCACAACGTTCTGGGTGAGGGGCCTTTCTTAACAAAATCTTGACCATTTAATGTGGCCTTTACTCAATAGGTTCAAATGAACCCTGAAATAGATGTGAAAGACCACCAAAGTTTCTAACAAATATTAAATTCCTAATTCATAGTTTCAAGGGTACAATGAGTTCAGTGCTAGGAACCTTAAAGATTGAGCTCGTCAAACTTATAAGGAAAAAGTTGTAGCCCCTTGTGCCGCCGCCCATAAGGTTCTTAACGTTGAACCTATTATCTCTTTAAAGTTATGAGTTCACATATACTATTTGTTAATTTTTGTGGATTTTATACATAATTTTTTTTGTTCTGTATCGGAAGTACTTAATTCTGATAAACTTGATACAATACTCTACATCCGTCTCTACTCTCAACTATCTAAAAGGTCCACAAGTGAATGCAGAAAAATGGTGGGACACTACAAAATAGAAACAAGAGGAAACATGAAATGAATGTACTAAAGATGATAAAGTCTTAAACAGAGAGAGTGCATTATTAGGACCATAAAACAAAACAATGTAAAAAAAACAGTGAAATTTCATAGAGCTTCAAAGAGTGTCCTGTGCTAAAGTATCAGTGGAGTTAAATGTCCATATATTTTTTCACTTTTTATCCATATATAGTTATGTACCATTGTTATTTTTTAGTTGTTATAATAATAATAGTAATAATAATAGCAATAGTATTTTGTTGCATATGACAAAGTAATACATTATGGATACTCAAATTTATCTTTCAATCGATCTTTGTCCAATATACTCATAACAAAATGTTAGACCTATCTTAAGGCTGACACAACCGACTTGGTTGAGGAAAAGGAAACCCCAGCAACAAAGCACTGCCCCCACTGAAAGTGAAGACTTAGGAACTTTAACTAAAAGTCCTAAGTTCGAGCCTTGGGAATGGAATCGCTGCAGGTAGAGAACCCTTTACCTCCCATAATGGGATTCTCTGGCATGAATCCGGATTAATCAAGCCCAAAAGCAAATATTGTTCATCGGATGGAAAAAGAAAAAGACCGAAGAACGTTGTTGAGTCCAGACCTAAAGAGGAATTTGGTGCCCCCTAAATTGATCACCCTACCAGCCGATGGACTGTGAAGCTGGGAAGGCTGAACGAGAACCAGTCGAACATCTGACCATCTTAAATGTATAGTCCATTCATTAAGGTTGGAAATGGCGATAATCATGTTAGTTTTACTTTTTCTCTTTTTTAAGACTTCTTTTTGGGTGTAATCAATTTCATGTTAAGGACTTTCCAGTCCATGCACAGATAATTTTCAGGTTAAGCTTTGCTCATAACTTAAAGATTATATATGAATGTATATATTTATGCATAATAGGTATACCTACCTATTATGAATGTATATATTTATGAATGTCCAGTCCATGCACAGATAATGAATTCCTATTGTGATTTCAAGTGAATAATACAATAATAACTGAGTTCACAATCAAATATTTATATATATTAAGTGGATTAGTTATTATAGAGAGACAGTATCAGGGGCTCTGGGCAAAAACTATTGGGTTGATGTGAACCCGCAACCGACCTTCTAGATCTTCCCTGAACACACTATATAGGAAACACAACGCCCTTGAGGAAGGGGCCGTCCAATCCCATTTAAATTTCTGTCATATAACTAGACCGTGGATGTAACCTTTGCTCAATAGGTTCAAATGAAACCATATTAGACACAAAAGACCACTAAATTTTCAATAATATTATATTTCAAACTCATAATATCAAGGGTACAATGAGTTCAGTGCTAAGAACCTTAAAGATTGAATGTCGCAGCCCCTTGTGCTGCCCGTTATGACTAAAATGGCACGTAAGAAGAAGTCCTCTTAACTGCAAGATTATATGTGCATCACCAAATAGGTTGAATCAAAGAGATTTCTCAAATGCATCACCAAATATGTTGTGAACCATGGGACATGGCTACCCTTTTTATGAGGAGAGAATCAAGAGAGAGTGTGGATAGACCGAAAGACTACGAGACTAAGTCCCTGCCACATGAAGTCGAAGATCTGCAACCTCATTCTCAATGGCGGATCCACAATTTTCACTAAGGAGCCGGGTCGAAAAATGAAAATGTAGTGCTTGGGATTTGAACTAGGAATCTCAAGGTGAATTTTTAATTTCCCTAAACCACTAACTAGCCTTGTGTTTAGGGGAATCCAAGTTTATATATCCATTAACAAGTTGCTTTATAAAAATATACCTTGTAATTTTTAGCCGAGGAGGTTGGGTGAACACCCTCGCCCCCTCCAAGATCCACCCCTGCTTATGCTACAACCTAATAAACAGGACAATCATACAAACAACAAAAATTCAGTAGAGAACAACATAATTATGATTGCAGAAATAGATTATGGTACATTCTGATCTTAGCAGCAATGCAATTCGACATGCAACCAAAAACAACAATTTGAATGAGTGCGATAATGTGAATGTAGAACATGAATTTTTAATGTGAATCACAGTACTCAAATAATAGCTAGAAGAAAGGGCTCTTTCACAGTTAGCTCCCATAAACACAGATCAATCCGGATGCAATTTCCGTATGCTCGTGATATATATCTTAACTCGGACGTCCATTTCAAGTGCATTATGCAAACAATCTACAACCAATAACGAGGCATTTTGTTCTAATACAAAGCACTTAGATACAAGTTCCAATAACTTTACCATTTAGGCTATTTCCCAATATTCAGCATCAATCACACACACCATTTTAAGAGTATTCAACAGCTTATTTTTCTTTTCAACTACCAATATGGTACATTGTTCACACACACCACCATCTAATATCAAAATTTATGAATTGTAATACTAAAGGTAAACTTTAACTATGACAAAAGCTTAGATAGTTTAATCTTGCAATTCGAATACGATCATTCTTTTTTCGAAACAGAGAAAGTATAAAACATAGATAGCATACTAACCACAGCGATAACATTACACAGATCATGAGTAATCGCCCATTCTCCACTTTTCTGCACCAAAATCAAACACAAACAGCTCAAATTACCAGCTAGGCATTTCATCAAACATGTAATAGGCAAGAAGTGTACTAGCTACAATATAAGATGACTTGAGATTGGGCCTGAAGTGAATACTGGGCCTGTTTGTGCTATATGACCCAAAAGTTAGAGAATTATTCCTTTATAAATTATGTTAATACGCGCTAAGTTGATATCTCTCTAGTTGAGGTTGCATTCGTTTATTAATATTCAATTTGATACGTGGACACTGGCCGGAGCCAACTCTACTAGTTGTTCAGGTTGGTCTCGATATTGTGTTAATAAGCGTAAATTGATCTGTCTAGTTAAATTGTATTTGTTTATTAATACTCCATTTGACACGTGGAATGGACTTACTTGGCGTTTAGATTAACTTATATTTGGCTTTTGAGCATATTATTAATTTTTGAAAGTGTAGATAACATCAAAAGTGTCCTGTTTTAGTAAGTGTGTTAATAAGTGTAAATTGATTTATCTAGTTGATGTTGTATTCGTTTATTAATATGCAACTTAACACGTGAAAAGATTTACTGCACGTTTAGATTGACTTATTAATAACAATTGGCTTTTAAGCATGTTTTAGATTTTGGAAGTGTGGATAACATCAAAAGTGTTCTACTGTTTTAAAGCTGAAAAAGTACCACGAAAAAAGGTCAAAATAGAAAAGTTGGGGGTTATCAACTTTTGACTTTTAACTTTTAACTTATAAGTCACTTAGGCCCGTTTGGATGGGCTTAATAAAAGCAGCTTTAAAAAAATACTTTTGAAAGTGCTGAAACTTATTTTTAAAATAAGCAGTTATGTGTTTAG